AGAGAGAGAGAGAGAGAGAGAGAGAGAGAGAGAGAGAGAGAGAGAGAGAGAGAATATAATTAAAGATTTGGTCATGAGTTTGAAAGGGAGACATGGGATGAGTTAGAGAGGAGAAGTTGAAGGATATCTTACTGAAAGCAATATAAAGACTCATTGCAATTCCTGCAAAATCTGCTTACAGTCTGCACTGAAATAGAAAAGATTAACATTCATATAGGAACAGAAAAGATCTTGGATATGCAAGTAAATCAGTGAATCCTTCAAAATAGTACATAAATATGATTGAAGATATCACCATGCCATTTTTTTCTGTTTTATTTCAGAGTCATGACAGCAATAATAGCATCAACAGGACAAGACAGAGGTCCAGATATAAACCCCTGAAGCCACAGCCACCTAATATTTGACAAAGATTCCAAAAATGTGAAGGAAGAGAGAATAGCCTGTAACAAATAGTGCTGATAAATTGGATATCTACGTGTGGAAGAATAAAACTAGCTCCCATTTCTCCATTTGCACACAAATCAACTCCAAATGGATCAAAGACTTAAGTAGCAGCCCTGAAGCTCTGAAAGTGATAGGTCAGAGGACAGAGGAGGAGAAACGGTTCAAGAAATGAGAACAGGTAAAACCCCCCTGAAGGGGACTCTAGTTGCTCAGCAAACCATGAAAACATTCAATAAACATGATATTCTGAATTAAAAAAACTTCAGCACAACAAAGGAAAGAGATACCTGACTGAATAAACATCCTTAGATTGTGAGGAAATCATTGGCAGGGTCACATCTAATAGAAGATAAATATCCAGAATACACAAAAAACTAAAAAATCCAAAGAAAAAGAAAACAAGAAACTCAATAAAAATAGGCAAAAGGAACTACATGGAGGGTTCTCGAAAGGAGTCATGCAAATGGCCTATATACACTTTTTAAAGTACTCAGTATCCCTCACAGCTAGGGCATTCAAAATGAAAACTACCTTGAGATCTCATTCCACTCCAGTGAGAAAGGGCATCTGTGACTGGTATGTAAAGTGAACTAAAAAATTTCTTAATAAAAAAAGAAAAAATATTTAATAAACACATATAAAAATCTAGAAAAAGAAAATTTAACCTAAAAAAAAAGAAAACAAATGTCACCAAACACTGTCAAGCAACCCTTAATAGGAGTTCTTATTCACTGTTGACTGAAATGTAAACAGTTGGAGCTGATGTGTAAATCAGTATGGGAGTTTCTTAATCAAATCCAAAATGCAACTATCATATTATCTAGCAATCCTGAGCATATGCTCTAAGTACTTACATCCTCTCCAGAGATATATGTATGCCCATGCTTATTGGTATTCTGTTTCCCATAGCAATGACATTGAATCATCTCAGATGCCAATAGCTGATGAATAAAAACTAAAAATGGACCTATATACAATGAAATTTTGTTCATGTGCAGAGTTGTGCTGTAGATGTATCTGTGGGGCCAACTACCTGGGGTTTGTGAAGTCATAGATCTTAGAGAAGAAACTGTAGTCACAATTGTACTAAACCAGCATAATTCAAACCACTAATTCAAAAAAGATTTTACTTTTATTTTATGTGGACAAGTGGTTTGGCCTATCATATGTAAATAGTGTAAACCTGGTGTTCAAAGAAGCCAGACTAGTGTATGGACCTTCTGGTATTGGAATTACAAATGGGTGTGAGCTGCCCCATTGGTGCTGGAAAAGAAATTTGTATCCTCTGCAGGAGCAGCAAGTACTCTTAACTATTGAGTCATCTCTCCAGCCCCATTAATAATTGTTATATATTTATATTTGTGTGGGATTATTTACAGAGGACAGAACACTAAAAATGTGACTTGTGAGAGGGGGAAATGGGAACCTTAAGGGAGCGGTATAGAAGGAAAACAGAATACATGTGATATGAAAATGTAAGAAGGAATATTAAATTACAGCGGAATTAATACAGAGATGGGGCAGAGAGATGGGGTAAAGAAGACGTTGGGTGGGTAGTTAACAAAACCAAGTATAATGAAAATGCTACAAGGAATTCAACTATCTTGTAGGCTAACTCAAATAAGAATAGCTTTTAATTTAAAATAAGCTAAAAATTAAATGGCAAAAACCTTTTAATATAGAATTAATATATGACTAATATACATGATTGATTCAAACAAATGATTGTACACTGACATTTACAGAAGTGCTACCTATCATTGTTCCAAGTAGAAACCCATCAACCAATGATGTAAATAACCAATGTACATCTGTACAATGATACATTTTTGACATCTTAAAATCAATTATTGGCACATAGAACTACACAAACATACCTTGAAAACATAATAATAGCAAGAATCCAACCATGAAGTCCCTATATTCACATGAAATATCAAGAATGTGAAGATCTGTAAGACATAAAGTAGAGTGAGGTTGCATGTGGATGGTGGAGGTGAGAGTATGTATGACAGAGGCCTTCTTTGGGGGATTATGGATTCTAAAATGCATTGTAGATTGCTTTGAATTAACTGAAAATACTTATATATATACATATATCAGTATATATGAACATCGCAGTCCTTAGAGATGATTGGACTGGAATTGAGCTCATCATCCAACCACCTTAGCTTCTCATGTCAACCAAAACACTGTGAGTGGAGAAATAATACTTCTTTGAGTAACTGAAACCAATTGATTAGCAAGCAAAATGTGGTTATTCTATACAGCCAGAACAGGTAACATTGTATCTATAATCCTGGATGTATCTTTTAATCCCAGGTACTGTTTCCACATTCATAAAACAAAAGTTAATAATCTCTAAGAACCCAATACAGGTTAGACCAGTAAGGACCAAGATTGGCTGTGGTCCAAAGTTTGTGTTTCATTATTATGTACAGAACTTCATCCAACCAATGATTGCCAAGTTCAGGACTATCTTGAAGGAAGGAATTATATATGCTACCAATGGTCTCATGATCAATGCTAAACTCATAAAGCAGGGCATTAGTAAAGTGATCTCACATACATAGAGAGAGGTTGAGAGTAACAGTCATAGTAGGCACAATTAAGGTTTTCATAGAGAGGTAAGAAGACAAAATGGATGAACAGCCATAGAAACATGAACTGCTTTTCTATTGGCTCAAGGAAGCATTAAACTTGCCATTTGCTTGTCACATGCCTACCCTTTCACATATTGGCACACGGAAAAGTTGGATGATTTTAAAAAGTTTAAATTTTTTCTAGAAGGTTGTGTATATAAGTCTTTTTGCAGGCAGGCAGTCATGTGGAATTGAGGTCTGTCCTTGAAGCCTTCCCAGTATGCATGGTTTTCTATAATTTCCGTCTTCTTACAATCTACTCTTAGATGTGCTGGAGAGACGGCTTAGCCAGTAAAGGCTAGGCTCACAACCAAAAATATAAAAACTATTGATGGCTTCTTCCATAAATTTTCATTGTGTGAGACACTTTAAGTCATTAACAATCAGAGTAATTTCTGATTATTTGGAGTGATTTTGAGGTCACCATTCTTCACTTTCCCCACTAAGAAAGTTGGCTCCAGTCAAGCAGAAGCCCTGTTCATTACCTGGGCAGGCAATGAGTATGCATATTTACATGGTTATTGACTGTGATGTTATTATTTCTTTGTTGCTGTTCTTTAAATTCTGCCTTCCCCTAACTGTAGGAAGGAGTGTGCCTATAATTGATCTCCACTAGAGATCCCGAGATAAATTGGTCTTAGAAAGGTCCTAGGTAATTATTATGTCTTTAATGAGTTATATAGGATCTAGACTCCTCTGGGGGTACAGAGCCCTTAAGGCTCAGGGATGGCAGCAGAGGGATGTGAATATGGATGGTGAAGGTAGGTGGTGAGTAGAGAGTCCAGTAGATAGTTCCTGTGCCTTCAAATAAAATAAAGGTGAGCAGAATCTTAAACCAGAAACTTTGATTCAGCCTCAGCAGGAAAATAATCTCGTGTCTTGTTGTCAATTTAAATGAATTTCCAGTGTTATGCAGGACAGTTTTCAAGGTATGATAGCATTCTTCTTTTCTGTGTTCCCCAAGACATCACCAGATTGTGCAAGTATTTATTTCATGGTCATCATATTAGCACTTTCATATTGATGGGTTCATCACAATTACAGATTATGTTCATTTTCTCTCAATATCACACACCATTTCAACACAAGAGCAGGGCTGTGAGATGGAGTTCACTGCTGTAGTGCTGAATGGTTGTTTACTATACTTTCCCTTGTGGGGTCTTAGCAAACTCTGAACAATGTCCTACCCAAGATGATGATCAATTCTATCTGCACAAGCTCACAAATCTGTGTTTTAGTGGTAATGTCTGTGATTGCATCTATGTGCAGTATATCAAGGAAGATATTAATATTATATAGATGTTCATGTAGAATGTGCAATGAAATCTACTCAATCAAAATTATTATTTCTATAGAATCTAAGTTGATTGCAGGTATAACAATTGCTAGAAACATATCCCTTGGGATTTCTATGTGCAGTTTAACTTGAGAACTGTGAACTTCACATCTAAAGAAGGTATGAAGTCCATTCGCCCATCAATGGTAAGAGCTGATGGTGGCTTCTCTGGCTTCTAGTCCTGCATACATGCCTACATAACACTAAGGTACTGTTCATTTCATTTAAATGAGAAGTAGGAAATGGGCATGGTGGCACATACTTGTAATCCCAGTGTTCAGGAAGCAAAGAGAGGAGTAATGTATGTTCAAGGTCAGTCTTGAATACATAAGGAGAGCATCTTTTTAAATGGTGCATGATTTCTTTTTCCTACATGTTTACCCCTCTATAATTCTAATCCACAATGTTTAAGTGTGCAAATTCTGAATTCAGTTGCATTAAATGTTGTCAGTCTGTGAAGATACAAACAGTCATACTTGGGTGTAGCATTTCAGAGGAAGTTGCTTAGATTTCTTGATGTTTTTCTTCTTTTGTCAGCTTTGAGACATGTGATAGACTCATTAGCCAGTGTTGTGCAGAATCATAGAATAAGGTGTGTGTGTGTGTGTGTGTGTGTGTGTGTGTGCCTATGCATGTGACTTAGGATACAGACAGTGTAGTGTTAGGAGCTGACAATACTAACATTTGAAGAACAGTCTAGAATATTGTAGTCCCTGAGAATAGGAAGGTTACTGACATGTGTCTAAGGGAGATGATGAAAATTTTTTTCTACTGTGAACTCTCCCTTTCCTCCCCTAATTCCTTCATCTGATTGCATGAAGCTCATCAGGTTATGAAGTGTTAATTATTTTACTCAAAGTAACTACAGATTTTATTGTCATTTATAGAATATCTGCATAGAAACAGAAATCTGTTCAAAATTGGTATCAGGCCTTAATCCACTTAATGTGTGAATTAACCATCAAATAGAGTATAGTCATCTGAGGAATAACTCAAGTGAGGATTCCAAAGTAACTTTGTTGCTTCTTCTTTTTTATAATTCATAAACATGTCATCCTATTTGTTTTCTGCACCAAAGCCAATGACATTTTGTGGATTAAAGCATATGTATATGATTTGGAGTCATCATTCTTACTGAGGTGTGATATAAATGATTCACCCTAACACTGCAGAAATACATCATTAGATCTCTGACACTCATTATAGAGTGTAAAATTTAGTTATAACTAATCAAGTGTTTCTATTTAAATGGAGATTTTCCTACTATTGAAGTTGAAGAAATCTGTATCAATTTGAGAAGCAGGTAACAAACTTTTATGCCCAAATTCATGCTTATGACAGATGTTGGCCCTAGATTCACATTAAGAGATTGTATACAATTACATGGGATAAAGCCACATATAGCCTTTCTTGCATGTAGTTTACAATTGATGGGAAGATAGCTTAAATCAGTGATCAAAGGGTTAAGCGCATGGGATATGTATGGATGCAAGGGAACATGGCTGAAGTTCTCATTACAGAGAGACAGGGTGACTTTACTGTGTATGTGATAAGCAATATCTCTTACATATAAGGATGAAACAGATAAAGAGGAAACAGAAGGGAGGAAGTGGTAGGTGAGTGGAGGAGAAACTCTAAAATGTGTGAGGTGAAGAGTTTTAACCCCAGCATTGATGAAGAGAGAAATGCAATTGGAACTTTTGAAACTGTATGGGAATTTACCATTGGCATGTGTGAGATAACAAAACAACATTTGTGCCCCTGACAGGAGCTTTGTCCTTATCCTCAGAGCAACAGTGGGAATATGGAGAATGATTCAGACAAGAGATAATGGAACTCCTCTGTTAGGATGCCACAGTGTAAATGAAACAGGTTGAAGAAGAAGAGAAGGGTCAGGAGATGTGAGAACCTGGACTGGACTGAGTCTGCTTCTGTATTCCAGTAAAGACAAGATGTGATCCTGATGTATGAATGTAAGCTCACAGAAAGAGATGGATGGAATAGGAGGAGAATAAACAGCAGACTGTTTATGTGTGACATCAGTTCAAGGTAAGAAAAATGGACGGATCAAAATTCACAGATTTCTGACTCAGACACGAATTTCTTTTACTATACTATGGGATACTGGAGAGGTAGGAGACAAAGAAATGCTTTGGGACACAACACAGTGAAGACACGAATTTCACTTGAGGTTTTTGAGCTCCTGATGCCTGTGATACATGCAAAGGGAGGAAGGTGATTAGTGAACAGTGGAGTAGAAATCTGTATGTTACAGAGACATGCATGTCGGAATTTTAAATGATAATGTAAGACATTGAAGTATGTGAGGTTTTCTTGAAAATTATATAAAATTATGATGCCAAAGCTTATCCAAACTCTTCAAGAATATAAATATCCAACATAAGAAAGAGAAAATCACAAATGGACAAACAACAGTTGAGCGGGCAGTAGGAGAGGGGAGCCGTCCATTTTTTAAATCTCAGTAGAAAAGTATAGAACTGTTTATGTTAGGACAGAAAGATGTTAAAGAGAAACTGAGAAAAATCATTAACGATTGTAATGGTTACAGGAATTTGGAGTTTGAGATTATAATTACTATGATGATTATTCTGATATTTTCTCATTAGGATACTGGAGTCGGAAAAGGATAATGAGCAACCAAACTGTCATCTCCAAGTTCCTCCTCCTGGGCCTACCTATTCCCCCAGAGCACCAGCACCTGTTCTATGCCCTGTTCCTGGCCATGTACCTCACCACCATCCTGGGGAACCTCATCATCATCATCCTCATTCTACTGGATTCCCATCTCCACACTCCCATGTACTTATTTCTCAGCAATTTATCATTCTCTGACCTCTGCTTCTCCTCTGTCACAATGCCCAAATTGCTAGAGAACATGCAGAGTCAGGACCCATCCATCTCCTATGTTGGTTGTCTGACACAAATGTACTTTTTAATGGTTTTTGCAGACATGGAGAACTTCCTTATTCTGGTCATGGCCTATGACCGCTATGTAGCCATCTGTTACCCCCTTCATTACATCAGCATCATGAACCCCAAGCTCTGTGTGTGTCTGGTAGTGCTGTCTTGGGTATTTACCATGCTTTATTCCCTGTTTCACACTCTGCTCTTGGCTAGATTGTCATTCTGTGGGGACAACGTGATACCCCACTTCTTCTGTGACATATCTGCCTTGTTCAAGTTGGCCTGCTCTGACACATATATTAATGAACTATTGATAATTGTCTTGGGAGGGCTCATTATTGGCATCCCGTTCTTACTCATTGTTGTGTCCTATGTACGAATTGTTGGCTCTATCCTAAAGGTTTCGTCTGCTCGGGTTATCCACAAGATCTTCTCCACCTGTGGCTCCCACCTCTCTGTGGTCTCACTGTTCTATGGGACAATTATTGGGCTATACTTATGTCCAACAGGTAATAGCTCTACTGTGAAGGAGACTGCCATGGCCATGATGTATACAGTGGTGGCTCCCATGCTGAATCCCTTCATCTACAGCCTGAGGAACAGAGATATGAAAGATGCCCTGAGAAGGGTCCTTTGCAAGAAGAAAATCTCTTTATAAGGCAACACTGGGACTTTTACTTATATTTATCTAGTAAATATATTGATATTAATATTACAGAATGTATCCCTACAATAGGACCCACATTCAAGAACATACTGCATAATATTTCCTTTTGCAAAATGCTGTTTTTCAAAGTAGTTCAGTTAGGTATTGGGACCTTAGGGATTCAATGATGCCACCCCTGCCTTGTATGTGTGATTCTAGAAAAGCATTAGTAAGAGCCACTCTTTTATCAGGTCTCCACTCCTTCATTCCTTTTTAAAGTTGAAAATAGATTCTTCTCTCATATAATGCATCCCAACCACCATTTCCCCTCCCTCTGCCCCTCATAGCTTATAGCTCCCTTTCCTCCTAATTTGCTCCTTCTCCATTTCCTCCTCATAAGAGAGCAGGCCTCCAAGAGAAGACAGTGACATGTGACAAAACAAGATACAATAAGGCAAAAGCTCTCATATCAAGGCTGGAGAAGGCAATTCAGTAAGAGGAATGGAGTCTCTAAAGCAGGCAAAAGAGTTAGAGATATGCCTGCTCCTAAGATAACAGCCCTAACATATACTCAGAGGACCTGGTACAGACCAATTCAGGCTCTGTGCTTGCCATTTCAATCTCTGTGAGCCCATGTGAGCCCTGCTTAGTTGATTCAGCAGGCCTTGTTTTTTGGGGGTCCTCCAACCCCACTGACTCTTACAATATTCCTTCCCCCTCTCTCATGGGGTTCCCAGAACTTTGAGGAGAGGGACCCGATGGAGACCTCCAATTTAGACTCTCTCTCTGCATAATGTCTTACTATGGTTCTCTGCACATGCTCCCATCTGCTGCCTGAGGAAACCTTTCTCAAGGAAATAATCTATGTGTATAGCAGAATATCATTAGAAAGCATTGGTTTTTGTTTTTGTTTCTTTTTTTTGGGGGGGGGGGCAGGTGTTTGGTTCTACCCTAGGCCTCTGGGCTATCCAGTATTCCATTACTGGCCATCCAGACAGTGTAGGGTATGGACTCCATTTCATGGAGTGCACTTCAAGTTAACCAACCACTGGTTGGCCACTCCCACAAGTTCTGCATCTCCATTGCCTCAGCTCATCTTGTAGGCTGGACAGGTGGATGGTTTTGTGACTGGGTTCCTATCAACATTTCCCTTTTTGTAGCCTGCTGAGTACCTTCCCATGACAAAGAGACAAGAATGTAGGCGTGAAGGTCCCAAGCCCAAATCAGCTTGACCTCTGCAAGTTCAATGAGACATGTGGATGTTGCCCTCAGCAGTGGGACCCCACTGTCAGCGGTCAGAGAGCTAACTTGTCTCAGCATCAGGCTGGGTTGTTTAGAGACTACCAGGACATCCTTGTCCAATAGCTCAACTGAATATAACCCAGTCCCACCACTGGAAGCCTTGCCTGGCTACAAAAGATGGCCTGTTAAGATTCTGCATTCTCCAGTACTGAGAGTCCTTACTAGGGCCAACCTCAAAGATTACTGAAAGTTTCCACTGAACTAGGCTTCCACATTGCCCCCTCCCAAGTGCCCCTAATTCCAGCTGTCTGTCCCAACACCTCCTCCTCCATCCATCCCACATCCCTTTGGTTCCTAACCCCACCCACCACAGTCTACCTGCAGAATCCAGTCTATTTCCTGCTCCAAGGGAGATCCATGCCCCACCCTCAAAGCCCTTCTCTTTACCTCACTTCTCTGAGTGCTTAATTGTAGCTTGACTATCATTTACTTAACAGCTGACATCCACTCATAAGTGAATACATAGGATATTTATCTTTCTGAATCTGGGTTATCTCACCCAGGATGACTTTTTCCAGTTGCATTCATTTGTATGAAAAATTTATACCGTTTTTTTAAACATCTGAGTAAATCTCTATTGTGTAAATGTACCTCATTTTCATTATCCATTCTTCAGTTTAGGGACATCTAAATTGTTCCCAATTCCTGGCTATTATGAATAAAACCACAATGA